GGCAGTGACTCAAACAAAAATGAAAGACCTAGCTGAAGAAGCGGTCTCAGGACATCGAAGATCCTGGCGGAATCTATGCTACAAAGGAGAAGGATGCACCAGCGGATGCTTCAAGCAACCAATGCCTGCAACCGTGCGAAAGCATACATGCGGGACAGGAACACCAAAGATAGTGACAACTCAAGCATGTTACACTGTCGGTCTGAAGCCACTACAGGTTAGGTGGAGCGGGGGTGTAAGCAACTATGAGTTAAGCTGTCGAGTATTTGTTAATATTCGGTGGGAAATTCGTTAACACAGAATTCAGATCAGTAGGCTTCGCTGGTTAGGACACGTATTGCACATGCCTAGCTGTTGTTTACCGCACCGCACCTTATACTAATAGCCGAAACCGAGTCCGAGCTTACGGCACTTTTTCACCCGAGTTCACCACGGAAAGTGGTGTTCGACAGGGTTGCCCTCTTTCCGTTTCTATTTAACTTCGTGATAGATCCAATTCTTGAAACAGCTCTATCTTCGTGTGAGGATAGCGGTATCGATTTGCTTCCAGATTGTACTGTCTGATCTAGAGTATGCAGACCACATTGTGCTACTAAGTGCTGATCCAGGTAAGTTGCTGGCTTTTCTGGGTAGTTTGAGTGCTAGTGTGTCCATGTTCGGCATGCGTTTTACACATTCAAAGTGTAAAATGCTACTACAAGATTTTGTTGGTCTAGCACCCAGTTGCACCAAGTAGTAGAGGAAGTAGACAAATTTTGCTATCTGGGCAACCATGTCTCAACTGGCGGACGCATCACAGATGAAGCGTCGGCGCGGATACAAAAGGCTCGATAGGCATTTGACAGCTTGAGACATTTGTGGTGCGGCCGTCTGGTGAAGGGTCGAGTGTATGCTGCGGCAGTTCGGCCGGTCCTGCTATGCAATGCAGAGGCTTGGCGTTTACAGGAACAGGATAAAAATAGATTGTCGGTGTGCGAACACCGCTGTCTACGTCGCATTGCATGAGTCTGGTGGGGTAACCGGATGAGCAATGTTGAGGTTAGACGTAGAGTTTTAGGTAATCGAGGTTGTCCACTGGAGCAAGTGATCGACCTGCATAGATAATGTTGGTTGGGGCACGTGTTACGCATGTCACCGGATAGGTTACCGCGGCGAGCGATGTTTGCCAAGGCTAGTAGCGGTAGTAAAAAGATCAAAGGTGGTCAAACTCAGACCTGGCATGAGGGTATGATAACCCTAACCTGGAGACTAGATCACATGGGTCCCGTTAGGCTGTCCGACTGGGGACCTCGGGACGATGGTCACCGATGGTTAGAGACACTGAGTGATATGGCTGGGTGTCGCAAACTGGCGCCCGTGCATCCGCTCATTCCCCTATCACTATTCTATATGAATTCTCCACCTTCCGCTTGAATTTGCTTTCAACATTTCAATATTCATTCTGCTCTTTTATCCAAATGGGGCACCAAAAGACCGCAGCTAAAACCGGCTCACGAAAGTGCATGGTTAGCGGACACCACGTTGGAGGTCAACGGATGACGTGAAAGCGCAGCAATATAGTGTGATTAGCTAGAAAAAGTGTCTCCTGCCTTCCAGGTTGCGATCCGTAAAACTAACTCGCTGGATGGAGACGCTAAAGGATATTGCAACTAACCGACGTTCTTGTCATTTCTTATCAGACAAGAATGCTTGAAAGTGTATGTATGCACAGTTAGATTGTGTTCCCTGTGCTGACCATAGAAGTTCACTTTCTTTTCCGCCCTCCAGTTAGGCCCAATCCCTATTCATCTTGTACCTTCCTACTCAATTCGTGTACGTTGAGAGCTTGACAGCGATCAGTGAAGTTCATTTCGCTGTATCTCGCTGATGATGATGGTGATGACAGTTATGATAACAGTTGTCAAATAACCATAACTTTACAAATTTCGGGACTTTTATGATCGATATAACGAAAGCGGTACCCAAATCGCACGCCAAAGCCCCGTTCACCTAGATCAGTTACTGGCAGGGGTTATTTCTAAGCTTCTCAACTTTATCAAATTCGCCTACAAAAGAAGCTTCATTTACACCCTCGCTTGTGACTATTGCCATTATAATGGTTATACTTGGGTTTTTTATTACCAAGCCAAAGCAAAAGTGATGACATTTTTCACTGAAAATTCTGTCCACAATGGATGAATAAATTGGACTCTGGACTTGACACATTTGTGTGATGAACAACAGACGGGATGAAACCCCATAGTCACGAGGACCTGCTATTCAGTGATGGAAAGCGGAAACCTCAGCCCCTGGACTTGGAGTAGCGAACCACATAAAGCCCCGGTAAGTTAGGCGTGATATTGAACCGGACGACAGCAAAGTTGCCCACCACCAGAGTTTGGTAGTAGCGGGGCTCGAACCCTATATATCATATTAATGATCCCCCTAAACGTTTCTTTGTAGAGATTGCCCTGTACGCGGATGGTTTCACTATTTGGGGCACAGACGTATCCAAAGTGCAGTCGGCGATTGACCAAACTAAAAATTGGTCAGTCTACTGAAGCTTACCAATCAGTGCCGGAAAATGTGCTAGCATGTCCTTTGTTACCGCTCCAGGTCAACCCTTCTGGGTAAACGTTTCAACCCGAATCCAACTGGTGGATCAGCACAAAATTCTCGGTTTCTGGCTGAATAGCAATCTCTCGTTTTCTTCTCACAATCAGAAAACCAGAAAATCCGCTTTTCGTAACTTAAACCTTATTAAGCGGTCTTTCTCGCGTATAACCAAAGAGGACTTCCCTTTCCTCTATGGAACATACATACGCCCGCTTTTAGAATACGGCAGCCAAATTGTACATTCTGGCCTCATTCGCGACCGCGACTCTCTAGAGCGTGTGCAGCGAAGGGCCACGAAACTATTACATGTCTTGTTAGAAATCCCCTATCCTTTCCGGCTACAGCCGCTGAATCTATATCCCCTAGATATACAACGTATCAGAGGGGATCTATTTTTTCTGTATAACCTCTCCTCATCAGGCATCAAGTTGACCGTTTCTTACACTAGCCTGGAGCATTTACTGGGACACCCAAGAAAACTCTTCAGACACCAGCCCAGAACCTTCATTCGCTCTAACTTCTTCACTCACAGAGTCATCTCAGAATGGAACAAACCTTCACTAGAGAACTCCTCCAAAAGGGTCTTCAAAACCTGCTAGACTCACACCTAGGGCTTAACCTTCCCCAGATCTAACTGGCCCCCATCTTCTGGAGGACAAGTCTACTTTCTCCTGCTTGTCCTTGTTACCTCCCCTTCTCACATCCTCCCTTTCCTCCTCAATTTTTCCGATGCATGCACCCTTAACCCAGCGGGACCATAGTAGAGCCAGCTCCCTTTTCCATTAATATCCCTTTCAGCTCGTGAACCGAGCTGCAGAAAAGAAGACAAATACAGAACCGGGAATATTGAGCGCACTCCTCGAATCCGAGTACTACTTCAATTCTTCCAGACCACGTCGGTGACAGCGACCAAACCATTGCACCGCCAGCATATACCCAAGTAATGTGTGTAAAGTGTGTGTGTAGCTGTACACATGAATTCGACGCATTAGCCAGATCTGCGAATGATCAATGGAGACTCTTCTAAAACCAACTACATGCCGTCTCTCTTTCTACATCCGTTATGGAAATTGCAACGGAGCGAGCGCTTTTTGAGCAAAAAAGCCGCTCCACTGTGTTAGCAGGGAATGGTATTAATCTGTCTGTACATATAATGCACATCTCAGGCACCTCTCGACTATCACTTTTGACTGAGATTTAATGGAAACACTAATCGTGCATAAACACCTGTTGCATATCCGATAAAATGGGCCAGGCTTAAGGTACAATGACCAGAGAACTGAACAGGAAAGGAAGATATAATGGAAAATCTACTTGTCTTCAGAAATTTATCATAATCTGCAGCATGTTTTCTTTGTTGGAGTCACTACTTTGGAGTTTCTCTCTCTACTTTTGAAATCCTTGATAGAACTTCGCGTTTCCCCCCGGGGAAAACTTCTATTATTGAATCTTCGTAAGAATCAGTTTTAGTACTTGACAACTATCAGATCGGGTAGATACGTTGATTTCAATCCGTGTTTTTGTTTCGTGCTCCTGGATACTGGCCAATGTAACTTTGCATCTACGGCATCCCATACACTGAGGCGTTACGTCTATCGATGTTC